AGGGCCAGCGTCCCTTTTATTTTATGTCATACAGGAACAAAGAATATTTAGAAGATAAATAAATCATTTTTCTCTGCTTAGAAAAATCTTCTAAGATTCCTGTGGTACTTGGGTTGATGACGATGAAATATGACACGCAGAGATTTTCACTTACAGAAGGGGAACATGGGTACCTCCCATTTTCTAAACTCTTGACAAGTAACTCACCTTTGTAGATAACACCGATGACACAGGAACAAACAAATCAAGCCATCTGTACCAATCTTACATGAACCACAACGTAAATTTGAGATACAAAAGATTTGAAAAAGGAGAGCGCCAAGTGTCTGAAGCAATCTTAATATCGGACATTTTTTCTTAACAGCTTTGAGCATCCCCAGCTCTTTTATCCAACATACTATGAGGCATCTTAAAATATTCTGTATTGGAGAATGCTATCTGAACGTACCCTCTAGCATCCTCACAGGATTGCTCCAGTTCAGCATCTGCTTAAAACACTATGCCTTCTTGCCTGCCTTGTTTTTTTTTTTTTTTTCCGCTCCTGCTTGGGGCTAATCAGTCTGCTTGTTTCTCGAAAAGAGCAATATGCTTTTCAAACCCCCTTGGGTATTGGAGAGACCCTTCAGTCCAGCCTCAACTACTCATAATCATAGTCCTAACTCTGGTTCACCCATCAATCAAAAGAGCAAAGATCCAAAAAGGCATTCCCTTATTTTCTGCCAGAACATCATTCAGGCTCATGACACAAAAGAATGTTTTTGCAGAATAAGATGATTCACTGAGTTTAAATTATATGCTTATTTTCTGAAGTTTCCAGTCCGTCTCCCCAGAAGCTGCCTGCATATCCCTCCTCCTTTTCATCCAAATGGAAGCCCTTTGCAATGGGCACAGACCTGGTTAGGTTTCAGAGTTTCTGCTCCATCTCCACATCCTTTTGATCCCTCACACTGACGACTTTGCCCTTTTTGGCAAGTTCTCCACTCTTTGGTGATTCTCTTCTAAACCTCTCGCTCCGCTCCTGGCTTCTCCTTGGTCCCGTCCTCAGCTTTGGCCTTTCTCAGACACTGCCTTCGGTCTACTTACTTGAATTTCAGAGGGTCAAAACTTAGCCCCTTACTGATTTTTCACATGCTTTCTCAATCTCTTTTTCTTATGGCCCTATGGGCAACATCCACCTCAGTATTCAAACCCATAGAGCTGGGTCACGTTAATGCTCTTGATCCCTGTACCCAAGCCACAACAAAAGGATCCCCTGTTCTGTGCCTGCTTCCTACTCCCAACACAACATCCTATTCTCTCTCAATAGCAAAAGTGTCCCTCATTTTGACTAGTAACAGGTGATCAGTTTGCAAATACTTGTTTATATCCAACACATACAGATTTTTTTTTCCCCATCTACGGTTTGCCTGTTGCCCACCAGCCTCGAACGAAAAGCAGTTTTTTCTGGGGTTTAGGGTTGGTCTTTCTCCCAAAAACAGCACTAATGAACCTGAAGAAAAAAATATAGGCATAAATAAATTTGTAACAGCTACTGTCTACCTTGAGACAGCGAAGGATGTCAACACATGGTTATACTCCCTCTCAAGAATGCCAGCATACACGCAGCCCCACAGAAAGCAGTTAATAGGGGAGTATGTCTGTGCCTTCTCTGATCTTCAACTGTTTTACACCCCTAGCTGCTCCAAGAAACAATCATTTCATAATTCATATTGAAAAACTAAAGTGGAAGGAATTTTTATTTATATTAACGTACTGCATTTCGTTTGAGTTACTCTCTAAATATTGGGATCAAGCAGGCACTCCTTATCTACAAAGCTCCCAGTGAATCCACATGAGCTTTGCCTCCGGACACTGGATTGCCCTGAAGTACGGGGCTGTCAAACACAGCAAAAGAGAAAGGAGAGAGCACGAGGGAAGAGGGCTCTCTGCAATTCAGTGCTTTGCACAGAACTGCTGGCTTAAAAATACTGGCTTGCAGGGGGAGCGGGAAATTTGTCTTCACATAAAATGCAGCCTTTCCTACTTTTAACCCAACACATTTTATGTAGCAAGAACGTAACAAAGAAGTTACCTCTTGCTTTGTTCCAGGTCTTCTTGTGACAGATTGTTTTTTCAAGGAGAAATCCCCAAACGCGTCAATGAATTCTAGCACTCCTGTTGGAGCTGCTGAGATATGCTTTAAGTAGCCCAGCATGGGAATACAGCAAGGAAGAACAAAACCAAACACAGGCCTGGTCACGAACCCTTTGAGCGTGAAAACGAGCAAACGGGGATGCACTCCCACTAGAATGACACGATTTTGTAAAACAGCTCAAAACGTTACGCACGCTCTGACGCGTCGAGCACGACAAACGTACGCATACGCTCCATGACACGCAGCACCCCAAAGTACTAGAAGGCAGCAACACGTTTACAGGGATTACCATGAAATGTGCATGATGTCAACGCCTGGGAATCCTTCCAGTGACAGATTTTTATCTGGCAGTCAGTTAATAGCAGAACACTGTTTTGCACCAACAAGACGACGCTATTTTCCAAAGGATAATTTTCTTAACTGGTAGTTTTCATATAAGCGGAGTCTTCCATAGGATGGGGGCTGCATTTACGCTAAGGCTTTTCACTAAGGACTTTAAAAGTGGTTTTGAAATACAAAACTAAAAACTGTTTTGGCTTTCTAATTTGCTTTCCGTTTTGCAGGATGTACCGATTTATTCATAGCATTTCTGACAAAGAATTTCAAGAATGCAAACAGCATGATGGCAATGTAGTAGCTGATTAGCTCTGTGGAAGAAGTTTCTCCAAGTTCGACTTTCGGTCAGTGCACCACATTCAGGATACAAAAATACTTCGGCAAGGAAGGTCGTCTCTCACTTTAGCCAGAATAAAAAAGGTCTTCTGCACTGTAGCTATAATAAACCGCACAAAAACCAGAGAGAGGGAGGGAGGGGGGGGGAGAGAGAGAGAGAGAGAGATGGCAGATACACTGAGAATCTGCAGCGTAGATAATCAAACCCTTTATTGTCTAAGTTACATTAGACTTGCAACACCATAAAAACCTGTTAAGAAGAAGAAACAGTAGATTGGTAGAGGTAGTAGAAAGTCCCTGTAACAGTCATAAAAGGGCTTTACAGGAGCGTGTCATGCCAAAGTTACCACGTTGCTTAAAAGAGCTGATCAAAGCCCACTGACTAAATAAATAAGGAACACAACTCACTTTAAATACTACGGCCTAACTAAAATAACAAATCAATACAATACAATGATAAAGAACAAAAAAGAAATTGTGGGATTCGCTTCTGAAAACAGATGGTCTTTAAGGTCGGCTTTTCCCCACCCACTCTTATTTCTTGTTTAATTAAGTGAAAATCTCATTTCTGTGCTATACACAGCATATAATTATTTAAACTGATTTCCCCTACTGTTGTTCTTCATGGAGCTAAATTATGATTGTAAACTTTGCTGATTAGTACCCTGGTAATGGCAGTGACAGCACTAGCTTCTCTGTCAGAGATTCTGGAAGAAAAGCTCCAGAAAAAAGCTTTTGGCTCTAAATATGAACTCAGATTTTCTAGATCAGCTTGCAAAAAAAACTGCATTAAAAAATCAGAAATTACAAATGTACACTAGACTTTTGTGCCATTTTGGGTACAGAAGAGTTTTTAATAACTAAAACACAAACAAATAGGCTAAGCAACTAGCTTTTGTGCATTCCTGAACTGCATTACTTTCACTCATGGAAAATATGACTCAGAAAAGCAACAAAACAAAAGCGAAACAAAAAAAACCAAAACAAAACAGACCAAGAAAGCTAGTGCAAACCCAAAATGATAATCATTAAACAACACAGCAAAATATTTCATTTTTTTCTTTTTTTTCTCCTTTTTTCTTTTTCTTTTTTTGGTGTACAATGGAATGTGTCTATGCGACCTCCCTCAAAATAACTTCACAGAACAGTTAATTACAGTCACTTATAAGTATTTGCACAGACGTTCCTAACTACACCGAGACTTACAGAGAATTCTGGTATACATCTGGTGTAATAGCATAAGGAAAAACTAGTTTAAAAAAAATACATAAGAAAGTTAATTTGCATTGTTGCAAGTGTTGCAAAGTAACAAAAACTGTCAAGTAATTTAAAACAAGTAACAAGTCGTATCCAGAACCAATTACTGACTAAATTTTTTAAAAAAAGCAACCCCCCGCCCGCCAAAACTGTTAGAACAGAAAGATCACGCTTTAAGGTTTTTTCTGGGTTTTGTTTTTTTTTTTAAACAAATCTTTGTGTCAGAAGCCCATTTCTACAAAACCAGTACTATTCCATTATTGTATTAACTAAACTGTTGCTCTCACCTGTATTAAAGGTTAGCATTTCTGTACATGTAAAATTATTGCTTTTTTGAAAAATATATTTAGCATGCTAGGTTTTTTTTAATCCATTTCCTGCCTTTAAAAAAAGTTACAATTTAAAAAAAAACTAGTAAAGCTTTTGCAAAAATTTTCACAGAACATTTTCTTTCAAGGCAGCAGTAACTTTTGATAATGCATAAAATTATATGTGCAAAATCTGAAACTCTCAGAAATATTACCATCACACATAGTGTCACAGCAATAAGAAAAGAAAATATTTATATCTGTGGAATACATTTTTAATTGCTTACACTGCATGGTTTAACAACCTGTTATGTGCCACAACCCCACCTTGAAAACTTGCAGTTAAAGAGTTACTGTAGAAGAGGTATATAAAGCTTTTTTTTTTTTTTTCCTTTTTTTCCTAACACCACCAGTGATCACCAAGTACAAGACATGACACATTTATATGAACATTAACCTGCCACCACAAAAGAAGTTCCTCGTCTTTCCGAAACGTCACCGGGCCCAGGGAGGAGCGGTGAACCTGCTGAACCAAATGCAGGAGCAGCGAGTACTTTACGGGGCCCGGGCCCGCCCGAACTTGTTCAGTGACACCTTTTCTCTTCCAAACATAGAGATCAGCGGCATTAGACAGCTGAGCGTTTTATTATTTCTTTTTTTTTTAAAACGTGAAGACTTCCTTTGTGATCAGGTTGAAGAAAGTAGCCCTGTTACAAAAAAAGGTCCTGAGAGTAAAACACAGAAGCCTGTTTTTTTTTCTTAGTGTTCGACTAGCTTTTCTTTTCCAAAGCCGAATAGAAGCTTTTCTCTGGAAGTGTTTCAATCTCCATATTCACATACTATTAATGGTGCGCAGTCAAGAGCAAGAGCACTAGAAATGCAAGTGGTCCCCAAACTGTAATGAAACAAACCATTGCAGAATGACGGTCTTTCTCTTTAGTCCCTTTAATCCTTCATCAAGCATTGCTTTCTCAGCACCGAATGCCACCTTTTCCCCGCACCCCCCCCTTCTTCCCCTCTCTCTTTTTTTTTTTTAATTTGCTTTTCAGCATGACAGGCAGTGGCAGTTTCATTAATTAATACTTCTCCAGCCCTCGAATCCACTGCTGTTTTTCAAATGTATCAAATAGTCATTGTGAGCATCAGGGAGGTTTTTGTTACAGTGCTTAACTTCTTCATGCTGTCCAAATCACATAAAGTTTAATTTTTCCAGTGTCTCAAACTTCTCTTGATTAATATAGATGCCTTGTGCTGCCACAGTGCTTGCCAACTCCGCTGTTTATTATAAAGGAAATAAGGAACCACGGGACTGATTAGTACATCAATTTATATATATCTTGTGTAGCATCTTCATTTATTTTAAAATGATTAACAGCGCAGCGGCACCCCGCTCCTCGCAGAGCGCTGGTTTCAGTCTCGCGCAGCGGCTCCGGGCGAGGTGATGGCTGGCAGGGAGGCTGCTCTGCAGCTGCCGGGGCGCGGGGCGGCTGCGCGGGGGGCTGCGGGGGCTTGGGGCCGCTGGCGCAGGGGCTCCTCCCAGGGCTCTAGGTTCCCTTCCGGAAAGGCAGCGTGTGGGCGACCTCCGCACCACCGTGGTCTCTCCCCTGCAAGAAGGACGACACAGGGAAAAGCTCATTCTCGCCTCTGCTCCCACGTGCGACCCTCCAGCAAGCCCTGCTGGCGTTCGTTACCCTTTATTAGCATCATGTACATTCATTTTGGCCCACCACATCGGAAGTTTTTTGTTTTTTTTTAAATCATCTCCAGCAAGACAAAGTGTGTCAGGCCCATATAAAGTCCCTGACAGACTAGAAGAGCAAGTAGTAGCATCTGATGGAGCAGTTCAGAGAAGGCTGAGAACAAGGAGGGGAAGAGGCGGCCTCCAAAAAGCAGAATTTTGAGCTAGCCAAAAGGGATTCATAAGCAGATCAGCGTTTTAAAAAGGCTGAAGTTTGAGGTCACAGAGGCAGCTAAAAGAAGAAAAACTGAATTCTTGCGCAGGTCTGTCAAATGCTAAGGCAGCTTTTTTTCTCCTCTGTGTCATCTTCCTTTTATTTTTTTAGCCAATTTTCATGAATAATTACCATGTTGAAAAAAATAGCAGGGATATTCTAAAATCAAGTGAAATTAAAGATAACATCATGAATAAGTGGGAGCCTGCAGCTCCCAAGAAAAGCTTTAAAATGACATTTAGCACATCACTGTCGGAACAATGCAGTTTACAATCCTGATCCTAAAACAACATGGCAAGATTAATCTTACATAAATGCATTATCCTTAAGCTAAAGTCTTGATGAAGTGAAACAGACCATTTTAAATTAATGCAACATAAAATACGGCACCCATGTAAAATCCAAGCAAGTTTCAAGCTGTGCCTATGGCAGCCCTCGAAATAGCTAAAGAAAGCCCAGCTCTGGTTGACATAATGTATTAAGTGCATCTCTTTTATTAATAGATTTAGAAAATTCCTAATTAAACCTGGCCCGAGATTCATGACATTTACCAGTCAAAGTTTGGTTTAAGTCGGAAAGATTTGCAACAAAATTAAAGAAAAAAAAAGCTGCTGTACAGATGGCAGTATATTTGAAATGTAGGAAACAGTAACTGAATGAGAGATGTGATAAAACTTCCTTAGTTGGATGCTGAATTTCCTGCAGTAAACCAAGAAAGATGCTTACCTGGCCCGAGATTCATGACATTTACCAGTCAAAGTTTGGTTTAAGTCGGAAAGATTTGCAACAAAATTAAAGAAAAAAAAAGCTGCTGTACAGATGGCAGTATATTTGAAATGTAGGAAACAGTAACTGAATGAGAGATGTGATAAAACTTCCTTAGTTGGATGCTGAATTTCCTGCAGTAAACCAAGAAAGATGCTTTACATTTTTGCGCTGCTGCATCATGCCTGAGAGACAGAGCCACAATTCCAGGAGGAGGCATTCATCATTAAAACGTCTCATATGGAACCAGCTCTACGTACACGGGGGAGCGTGGCAGGGTTTCGCCGAGCCGGGGGCGGAGGGGGGGAGGAAGGGAGGGGACAGGATGGCAGGCGCCTTGCCCCAGTTTTCCTGGGTAAGAACTGAAAAAGGGGGTGTAATTAGGGGTGCTTTTTTGGGATGGATAGCCTGCAGGGTGCTTGGGCGGCAGAGGCGTGCTCTGTGGGTCCGGGCACCACTCCCCTCCCAGTTTCACTGGAAACCTGAGCTTCGCGCGTGCCAAAACCCACCCAGCGGCTCACCCCCTTGTACTCGCACCGGCCCGGGGGCGGGCTCAGGTTTTGAAACAGCTGATACATAAGCACCGGCCCGAGGGGGCTGTCAGGTTTTGAAACAGCTGATACATAAATTCTTCCTGAAGTGAAACGTTCACCATTTTAAAAAGTAGGCTTTCTTCCCTTTCAGCATTTTGAAGGGGAAAAACAGCAGATCTTTTTTTTAAGTGAAACCTATAGCTTCCATGCCAAAAGCTGCTTTCATACCAACTTCTAGGGCTTTTCACCAGTTAACAGGAAAAAATCAGTTTGTGTGCACGTTAATATATTGGAGACAATTATCTCATGACATTGAAACAAATTGCAATGATTGGTTTGGAGCACAGATACCGCTCCAGTTTGCTGGCAAGGAGAAAGTGTTGGGACAAGAACTACAGCTGCTAATCCTGTCTATAATGCTCATAAACTAATGGACATACAGTACGTGCATATTACTCAGATGCCGCTACAGCAGCCTCCATGATTCCTTGATTGTTTGCATTATAATCTCCATATGTATGAACGAGACAAATTAGGTTGCCATTTATTTGTTCATTATCTATTATTTTGATTAATGGAATTCTTGTTCTCAGAATAACTATTTAAAAATAACATTTGCAATAATGAGGACTGAACTATTAATCACGATCTTTAGCAGAAACTCTGCAGGAACTGGGGCAAGACATTTCATATGAACAAACGTCATAAATAAGACTTCTAACAGACAGTGCTAAAATTTCAAATGCAAAAAAAAACCCCAACCCCCAACCAAACACGGAAACCAACGGTTTAAATAACTTTTTAATCTGTGTTATGTTTTTTGGTTTTTTTTTTGCTCCTCCCCTTCTCTACAAAGTTGCTTTAGGACAAGCAGGGCTGTAGTCTTGCTGGACTATAAAAACATTAGAGGTAACAGATGCCCCCAGCCTTTCCCCCAAGCTCCTTTACAATATACACGTGTGTATATACAGAGAGAGAGCGAGAGAGAGAGTGTTTTCTTTCCAATCTGTCTATCCCCCAAATTCTGACTATTCACATTTATGCTATCTCGAGTACCGAACGGTGCAATAAATACTTTAAAATAGTTACAGTGGAGAAAATTAAGGCTTATGGACTCCCCAATGAAGGTGGTTTACCCCCGTCACACAGGACCTACTGCGCACCTCTCTTTTCAGTGAATGAGGCCCAAGAAGTGTGGTGTGCACAGCTCTTCCACAGAAAAGGACCATCAATGCCTTCTGGCATGGGGAAAGCTTCAGCCAGAGAGATCCATGATACCAACAGGTCATTTTTTTTCTGGGCTGTAGCTTTTAATTGATTTTCTGTGAGTAAAAGGGTGTTTTTCTGGAGAGGGCAAAGGTTGGAGTTTTGGGGGTTTGTTTCACTCATACAAAAGGCAGAGAACTTGGTGTCTCTGGCTCCAACCCTGCAAATATGCTTCACGTATATATACCCTCAATTAGACAGTACTCTTCCCCGTTGCTAACCAGTAAATCACGCCTTTTGAACACCCAATTACTTGTCCCTTAACATTTTTAGAGCATATTCTTTGACACAGCACTGATAGAGGATAAACTATATTCCTAAAGTGGGACGAGTTTTTGTATGTTTTAAAAATGCAGCAGCAGAAGTTAAACACAAGGCATATGTATTAGGAATTGCTACCACTGCTGTCACCATTTTGCAAAAGCAGGCTAGAAGAGACTGACTCCTGTGCCACTGAACGCACTTGGGAATTGGGCTTCTGGCTGCAGCATTGCAGCATCAGGCAGTGTCTCTGAAATGACCCCACGCTTTAGGGAGAGCTTTGCTTTGAGAGCTGCAGCAGCTTCAAGATACGTGCGGTCGCAGGGACCCTTCCGAAGGGGAACCAGCTTTTGTCTTGCCATGTATAAGCAACTGGAGCGCGCTCCCTGAATTCATGCCTACCAAATCAGGTCTTTGGATGCTACTTAGTGTATTCCAAATTAAGATAAATATTCACTGTGGATAAGCAAGCTTAATTATGGATATATTGGGATATTTAGCATTTATAAAAATATTCAGAATATTCAGTATGTTTAATATGGCAGCATTTCAGGAGAATCTACATGACTTTGCACAGATTGTATTGACTTGGGGTATGTAATGAGCATTTTTTGTCCTTTAGACAAAGAAGAGTAGGAAATATTCCAGAGTTCACGGGAAATTCATTTGATGTAAAAATGTCCTCCTTTGTTTTTTTTAAAGCACTCAGGTAGAAGTAAGAAACCACAGTAAATAATGTTATGAAGGAAATGAACATCGTATTTCCTACTTTTTGTTTATATTTCATTGGTGCTGATAACAAAGCATGAAACACAGCCCAGTGCTAATATTATCAAAGCTGGGTGTGTACGTTCTTCTTTACACGCCACTACAGGTGGCCTACTTTTCAGTGACGCTCAACACCTGCATCTCCTGTTGGTGGTTCATTAAACTAAAGTAGGTTTCTTATTTAGACGCCTAAATATAGATTTAGCTGGCTCATTTTTTAAAAAGCTTGGCTGTAAGACCCTATTTTTAACTTGCAGAATTAAAATTATTCTGTGAGAAAACTGCTATATAATGTAGCACTGTTGTAAGCTACTATGCTGGGGGACTTTAAAAGCCCTACCTAACATTCTTTCATAAAGGAAATCTTTAGAGATGATCTTCTGGTTGACTACTGAAGGGAATGGGGGAACTGTGAAATACTAATGTTAATATTTTTGCTCTTTAGCAGACTACTAGGGGAAGATATTTTACCTGTAAGGAGGAAACATTATGTAAAGTGAATCATTTCCACTTAACATAAAAAACCCCCCCTTTCATTCTCAAGCTACCGTACGTAGTAACTATTGTTTCTCGCTGGGAGCATGTGCACGGCACTTCTGTAACTTGAACTGACTTTACACCATAAACTCTCATGAATAGATCTGTCCCCAGTTAAGAAATGAAATGAAGACACAGAGTGACAATGTTTAAAGTGGGAAATCGTAATGTTACCAGAATGCTGCAGGCATCGTTCTCGGTGTGAGCTCATTTCTGTGCTTCTAAAGGCCCCTACAGCTGCAGGTAGAAATGAGCGTATTCCCTCCCTAACGCCCAGGGACTGTGCAGGTGGAGTCTTCTGGGGGAGCGCAAAGCCTGCTCGCGATGAGAACAAGCAAAGCGGCAGACAACTGAATAATCCTAACCGACACAGACGCTGACAAACTGAGACAAAGGCTGATACTGAGGAGCAAACAAGACAAAAGAAAGGGAACTATCTCCTGGAGAAGTGATCACACCGCAGCTTCTGTGGAAGAAATACTGACTTTCAAGAGACAAAGCGATTCATGAAGCTAACCCCTACTCAGTATTCTGCTGTATTGAGAGATGCTGTAATTTAATCAAATACTTTGAAGACAGATTGACACGGACTGAGACTGCAAGAGCAAACTACATTTGCCCTGGAAGAAGTTAGTCAATAAATTCTGGCATGGCAGTAGTTTACAAAGACAAGATTATGAGTAAATTTACGGTGCAGTAATATAACCCGAATTACAAAAAGAGTCCAGATGCGGACTGAGCTTTTTGGATAGATACGGCCATTTCAGAATTTTTTTGGAAATGTATTTCCAACTTTGACCTTACATTGTCTTTTAGAGGAAAAAAGCCTAGATGCCTTCAGAATCCGATCTCAACTACACGAGATAAAACCATAAGCATGAAAAGATTATAGAGCATTTTAAAGATGCTTAGGTTTACTAAATCTACATTACTAAACCAATGAGAACCAAAGACTAGTTGAGCTAGTTTGCAGAGCTGCAGTGTTTCACTCTGTCACATACTTCTACTGAGAGGTATGTCCTTGCACTATTTTATTAGATAAGCACCAGAAGGAGAGCACTTCAATCTAGTTCTCCAACTATAGCATAACTTTGCTGCTACTGTCCCACAAAAGCAAAGCAAACGCTGCCCACAACAGCAACTACTGAGTGCTATGCCATCTTGAAAACTTTATGAGGAGAGTTGTTGGCCATTCCTATGGCCTGACGGCAACTAAGATACTCCTGTGGCAGCGGCTGGGTTCCCCACGTAGCCTTTGGGTCAGAAAGACGCAAGTGCAACAGAGAAGGTGCTAAGAGTCTCCATGAAGGGTGCAACATACGAACTATGCGATGCGGTGGTGCCCGGTGAGGATGTTTACTGAGCAAGTAGAAACCAATTCCTGAACTTCACAAAGGCGGGACTAGCATGGAGATGCATTCTCTAAGCATGGCCGAAACTATCTGCGATCGTTTAGGAAGAGACAGGAGGACAGGAAAAGTGCTGTAGTCAAAATTAAACTAAAAACGTGGATGAAAGAAAAAGTAAGCGATGCTGGAGGCAGTTTCACAATGAAAGAAAACTGCCCATAAGAAGGTGTACCCTGAAACCCACCTGCCAAGCTGGAAGATGGAGTGGGAAGGTCCAGATTATGACACTGGTCTCCAAAGACATAAGATACACGAAACAAATTCAGTTTAATGGTTTTCTATGTAACAGCTTTGTCATGTGTAATTCAGAGCGCTGAGAAGTGTTAGACAGGAAACTCTGTATACTAGAAACAGGAAAGCACACGGCCACACAGAGTCTACAGAAACTGGAGGATGAGAGCCTTTCAAAGGCCAGATACTGGATATCGGGGTACGAATACTCTTCAGAAAAATACAGACTAAACGTTAATTGTATTGTTGAAGCAGAAAACGTGTTAGTTGTAAAAGCAAATTATTTCTAGGAATTCTTTATGTACTATCTCACTATTACATATCACTGGGCATTACAGAGTCACCTATCCCACCCACTCCCCAGTAAGCTGGCAACGTGTTTATTTAAACACTAACTACCTGCTCTACAATTAACTGACTCTCTATATAACAGACTTTGATAAAACACTTAAAAAATTTAAGAGCTAAAAATCAAGCTACACCGTTATTATTTATACATGTTATAAAACAGCGCTTTAGTGATGAGTATCACTGTGCAACTTTTTCCCAGCTACCACATTAAAAACCAAACATCCAATTAATTGTAAAACATACTTGTTTTGAGGCATCTGCGGAGGTGGTGTGAACTTCAGTACCTCGGAGTCCATTAGACTCAAATACCACTGTGGGAACAAGGGGGCTTGTTAACAGATGAACATTCAAGCTTCGTTAGTGTGTGTACATTATTTGAGACCATTACAGATTAACCACGTTCAAAAAAAGACACCAGCTACTAGCCTGTGGCCGGAAAATACCAATTTACCGTAACACTTACTGTAAGAGAGTGTGCTAATGGCAGCCTAGGGCCACTGCCCTTTTTAATTCATTCTTCGGCGCTGAAGAAAGCAATCACTGACAACATTAATTATCAATGTATGTGTAAAGGGACCCTTTTCTTGCATTACTTACCATTTGGCCTCTGTCATTTTGCATCAGACTGGCTTATGTATGCATCATTCACACTTCTCAGGAGGAACCCGCTAGTCTCACTGTCTCATGCAATGCTCAGGAGGTCTCTCAACACTGGTGGCTTTAGCCTCCTACAGCCTCAACCACAGACGGTGCCAGGTTAAAAATGGCTGGTGGGGATTTCCCATTTTAGGGCTGACCAGTCTGCGGAAAAATCTTGTTTCCCGCAAAAATGTTCCTGTCAACAGCAACGATGAGGCAAAACAAAGCCTTATGTTGTGCTGAAAGGGGTACTTTGATTTCAATTTGTGCTGGTGGCAACAGAATTCATTAGCATATTCATTTCTGAGTACCCTACTCTCTAATTAAAATAAAAGATTTGCAAACAGACTTATCTTAAATGCATTGCAATTTTATGGAGTTAGGGCAGGGATCAGAGGTAAGCAATATCCGGAGAACAAGAGCAACAGTCGTAAAAATAAAAACCCTGTTTATTAGATTTAGGTACTGGAATTACTTAGGTTAACATGGTATGTGAAACGTAATTCTTGGCATTTTGTTAGCTGGATCCAAAACCAGGCAAGCAGGAAAGGGAGAAAGCAAGAGCAAGTGTGAAAAGGTACCTGCGTGGGACCTCTGATGAGTCCTGAGGTGACTGGGTTGGGTAAAGCATTTTCCACATTCTCTGCAGACGCAGTCTCCTTGGCGTGTTTGTGTCCTGAGCATCCCTGTAGTCGGGAGGGAGGGAGGGAGGGAGGGAGAGAGGAGGGGGTGGGGGGGAGAGGAGAGAGGAAAGTTGAGAAGAAAACATTATGCCAGAAGAAAACATCATTAGTATGTCTAATGTGTCATTATGTGAGGCTACCTTCAGGCCCTGGATGACAACTGTCAGCCTTCATCTAGGCACTGGCTGACAGGCCAGGCACACACAGGACTGCAAGAATGCATAAATTACATTGAATTAAAAAATGCTCCCCATGATGTGCCCGCACCAGGACTGGCATGTCAGGTGTGCGCTTTTCAGAGCAGCTGGATCCACTTCTCAGCCATCACCCAGCTTTGTCAAGCAGTACATCAGGCAAATCAAAGTGACTCCAGCGTGGCGGAGACAAGTCACATGGATAATAGGAAGTGAGCAGGACCAGAGCCCGACTGTCCCCCCCGGGCGGCAATACCTCAGAGACAAATGCAGAGCGAGCGGAGCCATCACAGACTGATCAAACCTTTCGCCCCTGCCTACCTGCCTGCCGGTGCTGCTTTGACCCCGGACCTCTGAGGCACAGACGAAAGACATCTGTGAATGAAAGTGTCATTCCGGACATTTTGAGCTGGTAGCAGCGCAGCAGCCTTCCCCCAGCTCTGGGTAAACATGTTTTCTAGGCCATTAGCATTTGTGGAAAACCGCTCAAACCTCTCCTTTTTCTCCAAAGGTCAGTTTACAGTATCTGACTTAAAGGGCTGGTCTTTGTCTTTTTGCTGCTGATCAAAAAAGACACATTTGACTTTTATTGGGCTTTTTTATTACTAAAAAAAAAAAATACGTTTGAACATCATCTTTTCTCTTTTGGTAAAATGCCCTCCTCGGAAGGAAAGAGTTGATGTTTCCATTTGCCACTGGAATACTTTAGCTGTTGAAGAAATTCTCAGGGGGTTGTGAGTGGAAAGGAAGTTTCAGCTTTTCTCATTTCCCC